GCAAAGTATTTTTGACCAGATTCAAAACATGTTTCAATCTCTTCCAATGTATGCACAGGAGAGTTTTCATATTATAATTCATTATTGATATCACTTCTTGCACCCTCATTTGCTCAAAAGTCTCATCCTTATCTCTGACAAAAACATTAAAGGCTTATCTATATTTTGTCTCCTTAGTCTATCCATGCTAACATTCTATGAAATTTTCTCAATTGAACAAAAAAGCAGTGCACATTAAATTTTAAAACAGGATGTAAAATGCATTTTAAAAAGTGGTAGCAACTATGAATATGATGTGTAGAATTAAGCAAAAAGTGCTTCACCTTGAAGATACAGTGCAGCCAGCTTCCCAGGATGCTATATGTCAAAATCTAAGTGATTCAACATTTTGCTGTGACACTGATAAAAAGCTGATTGGTGCTATTTTATGTGGTACATTTTTACAATGATGAATTTGAACTAAGAAGTTTCTATTATAATTAATTATTAATGGTTCTTTTACTAATTAACAGTAAATGGTCAGATTGTATCAACTGGCTAAAATATTTTGTCAATTTATAGAGGCCAATAATTTGATAATTATATACATATAATGTATATCTTAATATAGTGTATGTCTGATATGATTATAGAAACATCAAAATCAGACATATTTAGCAATAACATGCAGCAAAACATTGAATTCTGAGACAAAAATGTGTTACTAGAGAAGCCCATGCAAACTTGCTCTAATTGACAATATTTTTACGTCTACTGACATGAAGTTCCAAGTGAAAACTTGGAACTGCTAGTCCTTCTCAACACCTTGGTTAATGCCCTCTTCACATCTTTATTCCTCAGAGTGTAGATGAAGGGGTTGAGGGTAGGAGTCACCACTACATAGAAGAGAGCCAAGAACTTGGGCTGGTCCCTGGAGATGGAGGAGGGGGGCTGAAGATACAGGATGATGGGTGGACCATAAAATAATGAAACTACAATGAGATGAGAGGAACATGTCCCCAAGGCCTTTTTACTCCCTCCAGAAGACTTAATCTTAAGTACAGTATGTCCTATACTACCATAAGAAAAAAGAATTAAACACAGAGGAACAGCTAATACAAATGTGCATACCAGAAACAGTGCAAGCTCATCTGCCTCCTTCTCACCACAGGAGGTTTTCATCAGAACTGAAATCTCACAAAACAAGTGATCCAGTTTATTGACCCCACACAATGGCAGCTGTAGTGTAAGTGTAACCTCTGAGAATACTAATATCACCCCAGTCAGCCACATGATAGATGATAGTAGGAGGCAGAGGTGCTGATTCATGATGAGGGTGTAGTGCAGAGGTCTGCAGATGGCCACATAGCGGTCAAAGGACATGATGCCCAAGAGCAGACACTCTGTGGCCCCCATTACATGAAAGATATAAAGCTGAACTGCACATCCCAGATAGCTGATGGTCTTCTTGGAGCTCCCCAGGTTAAAAAGCATCT